TCAGAAGAGTTTCTGCAGATCAGGACTAAGTCACCTTAGTGGGAAGACAGAACTGCTGTAGTTTGTGCTAAGGACAGAAGATACCTGTATACAGCTGTCAGTTTAATACCTTTTAAAACACAGTTAAGGAAGGAAAAAGACTAAGCAAGGTGTTGATGAAAATAGTGTTAAAAAAGCAGCACTTACTGCTTGGAAGATAAAACATATAATCGGGCTTTCAAAATTGACTATTTAATTTGTCTAAAGACTGTTACGGAACCCATTCTTAATGTACTTGATTTGCATAAAATCTTTTCTTCCAACAACCTGTTGTAGTATATCCCTAGAATGGGGAAGTGCAGTCCTCCGTCAAAATTCAGATATGTTAAGCTGATGAAAATGTGCCCATTTGTAACATCATTTTCTACTCTAAAATTTCCTTAGGCACCTATATACCATGGGATGAGTGGTACCAATTTTTAAAATATCTTTTAAAGACCCATTAATGAATATGGCTTTTGAGTACAGTTTCTCTCAAGAGCAATTATAGTGGTTCTAAGAACGAACCCGCCTACAGCTCTAAGGGTAGTTTATTGCAGCATGCGCTCATTCAGCTTCACTCAGTAGATCTGATATCTTGCAAATTCCACCTGGACTCAAGATCATTTCCCTCAGTCATTGCATATCACTACCAGCATTTTGAAGGTTCACCATGTTAAATTTTCTGCCCAGCTGTGCAAGTCTGCTGCCTCTGAATTTGGTCTCATGCAGCCCATGCAGAAGGCCAGAGCTTGGTGTACCTTTGCCCATATGTAGGTGGCTGGACCTCAGGAATCTCTGGTGAACACAAAATGAGGAGCTAAATACAGTTTGCTCCTCTCTGGAGAACAATATAGACTATCAGACCTAGCAAGCCAGGGTGGTTTGGATGATTTGGATATGAATGATACTCTCCACATCTGGCAGAGTCCTCCAGAAGCAAAAAGAGCACACCCAAACGCGTAACACATAACTGTGCCATTCGTTCATTTTTGCCATGCCATTTTTCTTCATAAAGAAACATCTTTCATTGTAAAAAATTGTGATAATTGAAGTGTCCTATTTATGTGAATATATATTTTGGCACATAAATGTATGTTTGAAACTTAGCATATATCAAGTCTCAGCTTAGAAATAGGAAATTCTCTTGGAGTGTTGCTAAACGGTTTATCTGCTTATTGAAGTGACAGGAAGGTTCAGTGAGCTGCAGGAAACACTGCAGTGGAGGTGACAGACCCTGCTGGATCACAGACTGCAAGGACAGACAGTGTTTCAGGCATGAACTGTGAACTATGAACACAAACTATGCTGAATCGGGGCAGGGCAACACAGCAGATGGTTAATGGCAGTTTACTGCAGTATTTCAGCTAACACAGTAGTCCTGGCAGCTGAAACGCTTCAGAGAGGGATTAAAAATGGGTAAGAGGGTCACTGCCTTTCACACGCCGGAGTCAAAGGAGCTTGAGACCTGGCAGAGAGGTTGGCAGGCAGCACACTGGTCACAGCGTGAGAGGCCGACAGGGTATGTTTTCCTGCAAGCAGATACACTTACCTGAGCCCATACTGGGAGGCCCCGATAAAGGAAGGGCCCGGGAGCTCCCTCGGTGCCACACGTTGAGTGTGCATGGAGCAACTTCCACCTTTCCAGCTGGTAGAGAAGGTGCGTCAGGGCCTGGCTGCAAAGGCCGTATTGCTCACACAACGCTCTAGTGTCATGCGGTGACACAGACAAAACTGTCTTTTGCAGAAGCAGGTGGTTTCTGAGAGACTAGAATACGCTGTCCAGGTAAAAATGCAGCTTTCCTGTTACTCAGCTTATAGTAAAAAATGCCTTAATAATATAGCATAGTTTAACAGTACTTGCATATTTTACTGCTATTGTAGCATAAGGCCTATACTTGTAGTAAATGTGCCCTTCTCTTACAGGCTTTTAACTTCTGGAGAGCTATTACAGTGGCTAATCATCCCCATCACTTAAACCTTCCTGTTGTTCAGAGCACCTCACTCCCTGTGTTCTTTCAAGCAAGCTGAGGGAGACACTTTGACCAAGAAAACGAGAAATGTGGTGCTGTCCTGCCCATGACTATCTCTAGCCTGCCAGGAGGTAAAGGGGAGTAGCCCCAGACACACCAGCTAGGCACCCTTGGTTGGCACAAGCTTTAACAGGCACTTCAAAAAAGCATCAGTGCCATTTCTTCTCTAGGCATCAAATTCCAAATGGCCTACGTTTCTTTGGAGATCAGGCAATAAAACTGTTAGATGGGATGAAATTTCTGGCCTTTTGCAGCTTTCCCAGTCCGACAGATCTCACTCCAAGCACTTTTGACCCCTGCCCACCTTTGCTAGGCATGAGTCCAAATGACAATCTGATCCAAATCTGCTATTTATAGCTCCAGAGTTTTAATTGGCAGTGTTAGACAGAAGGTATCCCTGCTTACAGAATTTTGTGATTTTTAAAGTAAGAGTTTTGGAGGGGCTGTGTGGGAAGGGAAGTGGCATCTTTGTTGTAGTTTGGGTGAAGCATCTGAAACAGTTTGCTAAGTGGCAGTTTCATGAGAACATTTTTTAACAAAATTTCATACTGCGGATTTTAAAACTGCAGTGCTTGCAGGTAGCAGCTGCATATGTCTCTTTTTTCTGCTTACCCTTCTGATTGCAGTACTCTTTTGACAGAATTTTGTACATAAACAGTGATAAACAGCGATATAGTTCGTTTATTTCTTTTTCCCTTGCCTTTTAGAAAACAGCATCAGAAAGAATTTAAGAAAATAATCATCTATTTTATTGTATATCTAAAGAAACTGGGGGGGTGGAAAGAAAAGGACTCAAGATGAGGGGACAGTTATTGAAATGATTTTAGCTACTTTTTAATTTGAAAGCTGTTGAGTTATTGTTGTGAATGAAGAGCGCATCAGTAAGTAGTATCTAAAATGGCAGGCAGATTTCAATTGAGAAATGCAGTACACAACCTCTGTACCTATCCCAGTTATAAAGAACAGTTAAGACTATGTGGCCGGATCACAAACGTAGAAGAAATCAGAAAAGATGAAGAGAAGAAATTTTAGAGTTAACAGCCTTTGTTGCTCACTGTTTTTCTCCCTGAAGAAATTATGGAGCCAGACATTTACACAGCCCCCAGCTACTCTGCTTGTGGGGGGCATGCAGAGCGAAGTGCAGAGCTGTCTGCTTAAAGACCTTTTCTTTTTGTACAGATGCGAGACTTGCAAGTGAATCTCCAGGGCTGCCTCACTGCCAGCCCCTGGTAATGGACTCCAGAGGTATTGCTCGGTTAATAGACCTTTTAACTAATAGTGGGCACCTCTGCACATGTAAAACATCTATCCATTCCCTTGATGATGATTTATCCTGTTTAAAGGGCTGGGGGCGGAACAGGTTGTTAAAAGAGGAAGAAATTGAAAGCTCCCCTAACTGCAGTATTATCCACCTGACATTCTCCAAGTGCTAGTCATTAATTACTAATGTATTGAGAATCAGAGCAGTTATCCAATTCAAATTATGTTACACTTGCAAGCCAGAGCACTTCCATTATCTTATCATTTCCCATTCAAACAATTCTTCTTTCTCCTCTGTTAAAGGCTCAGAACCCTCACTCTATTTTGTCTCGTTTAGACCTGTTATCCCCACAAAGATATTTCTGCTTTATGCCCATCCTACCTTCCTGTTGGCTAATATTTGAGTGGGTTTACAAGGTAATTCTTAGAAATTCAGTTCTCCAGCTCTGTCCAAACTACACATGCACATCTGATGGCAGAATGTGGCCTTAAGCAATAACATTTTTTTCCAAATCATGAGCCAATGTTAGGAAAGGATTGAACCTGGTTTATGGCTTAAGCTGCTCTTGCAATCCTTGCACCTGCAGACCTCCCACTGAACACAGCAGGAGATTTGTGTGCACAGTCACAGTGATTTCAGGGCCAAGTTCTCGACCAAAGTAACTCCTTGAAAGCTAGCGGAGATGCACCAGAGATCATTTGGACCCAAGCTGGCGAGGCAGGATGTGTTTGTGGGGTCACCAGTAATGTCAGTTCTAGCTGAACTGTATATGCAGAAATGATGGGTTTTGTTTCCTGACATGTCTATGCTTTGCTTCCGTGTATTTTCATGCCTGCCAGCATTTGGAAACCTAGACATCAAGTGTTAGGGGCAGGCTAAATGCAGTTTTTCATGCTGCTGACATTGATTGGATGAACAGACCTTCTCAGAAGGGGCAATGTAGGCAAAGTATATGGAAAAATGACAAAAATAAGGACTTTCACAGCTAAATAAAGACAAGTAGCAGAAAAAGCCTTGGCTTTCATGTGTTTCATCTGGGAACCTAAAAGCATTTTGCACAACAGCTAATAAATTAAGATTCACAACGCCTTTCTGAGGAATATAATTGCTCTTGTCTTACAGATGGAGGAACGGAGCTCTTGAGACTATCATCTGAAAATATGTCCCCTGTTTTCAGGTCCCCAGATTGAGATACATTTCAACCTAATTCTCAGAAGCATTAAATAGCTCCATTTATATTCATTCATTTGGCTTTGTTTGTGCCTACAGCCTTGAAAATGAGGAGTTTTGCGCCTTGACTTGTATGGTTAGAATTAAAGGTGGTGAAAATGTGGCAAAGATTGCAGAGCAATTGCAAAGCTGACCTGGGAGAGGGTCCCCCGTCACCTAGTGCCCCATTCTGTTTTTACTTACAGAGAATCCTTCTCAGGTTCTTGGCCAAAATGAGAATTTCTCCTGCTTGCTTGTTTTTCCTGTGCTCTCTCAAACAATTGGACGGCATAAAAGCACCACCACTAAGGATTTTGGTTATTGATCTCCTCATAGACTCATTCTGACTTTTCTTTCCAATAACCAAGAATTTTTCTGGAAATTTTTATGATTATGTTTCTTTTTGTGGAACTAGCATGGAAACGCAGTGAAAATTGTTTGTATCACCTGTTTTTTCCCTGTTGTTTTGTGTTTTTTAGCATACAACAGTTTTGCCCTTTATATTAATTGAGATGAGAACAACACATCATGAGTATCCCAGCAGGAGCTGTGGACTGGCTGCAGTATGCACCTTTGCTGTTGGCTACATTTTATGGTAAGGACTGTACACATGGTGTTTTCATATTGTATTGGGGGCTTTGTACTGCTAAATTTGGGCACATATTTCATTATGGATATAATCACTAACAGATCTACACTGCATGCCTCGTTTGGTCCAAGACCTGCGCTTTGTCTGGTTTCCCCAGATGCTTATATTTTTAGAAAGTATACGCCAAACCTCACACAACAGGAATTTGTTGAACAATCCCATGTAAGCAGTGGTCTTTCCAAACGTACATTTTTGAATCTTTTTTCAAGCTAAATGTTTTTCTTGGACCTTAGTTTTATTTCTTAGGGGTTTTGTTCTATCAAATAAAACTGAGAATAGGCAAATGATTTCCTGCATCAGTATTTAAGCTGCAACAGGAAAGATAGAATGCTGTCTTTTTTCTTTACTACTTCATAAATTCTTTCTGTAAAATTGATTACAGAAAAAGACAGCAATCAGGACTCTTCAGTTTATTTAAAATATACAAATGTTTGTGAAAAAATAATTAAAACAGAAATAAGCTTTCTTATGTAACACTAAATTTGTTTTTTGGGACAGAGTTTCTATTCAGGCACCTCACTTACCTAACAGTTAATTTACTTTAGTCATTCTGGTGTTTTATTTTTTTATTAAATTTTTGTTTTGATAACAACAGTCCTTTGATACCGTAAATCCTTTTTTCCTCCTGTCTAGAAACCTTGCATGGCTTCCCATTTACTTCCCCCATCCCTTCTTCTTACTTCACAACAACGTGCCCTCAGCTAAGACGACAATTTCCAAAGCTGTGGATAATATTGCTTTTTCAAGTCAAGTGAGGTCAGACTAATGAGAGAGGAACATAGGCTCAAGGCAGTGCTGTTGTACTACCTCTGCTCTATGTGACTTGCCCCTTTTGTCCAAGAAGGAGAGGACAATATAGGTATAGGTAACCCATCAGCACATACTGAGTGATCATAAAACAATCCAGGTAAAGTTAGATGTTGTGTCGGAGGACACCAGTCAGATTCTGCCATTTAATTCTACAAACAAATTATAAAAAAGAACAATATTTGCAATGGAGATTGGTTAGATAAAGGCAATCTTATACATCAAGGCAAAAGAAAAAAAATATATCCCTGTATGATAATGCACAACCATGATATTTCTCCACCCTCTTCTGGTGGTTCCTAGAGGTGGGATGGCAGAGTTGCTGTAGCAGTATTCTGACCTGGTATGGAAATTCCCGTTCTCTCAAAATCACCCAAGTAGATCCATTGAAAAGTATTCCACAGGAATGGAACATTGAAATATTCCAGTTATGCAAGTGAAATAAAAGCAAAGGTGTTCTTAATCTTTTTAAAAAGCTCTGATAGTATCAATGAGAGGAAAATCACTTTAAAACTTTTTTCTCCAATGGCTTGTGGGACCAGATGTGGAGATGGACTCTGCCATCATCTGCAAATTCTGCATGTCTTCAACATTCAAGTGTTATTGAAGACTCTACCCAATGCTTGACTGAGACTACCTGTCAGTGATGGCTCACTGATATCAGTACAGTGTATCTGATGTTCACAGACTGGAGACACCTACCAGAAAATATGAAAAGTATGGGTTGTTTTCATCTCTCTCTCTCTCTCTCAGGGCAAGACTATCTTTCACAGCTAAAGTTCACTGCCTTCCTACTGCCAAGTAACCATGCTGAAGTACTGATCTTATTGACTTAGCGATTTTGGATTTATTTGACTGGGATTTTCTGCCCTTACTGGCATATCCTTTTGACCCTTCAAGGTTAGCACAGTACATTAAAAATTGAGCCTGTGCCTGCAAATGACCTGGCAACATAACATCGCTGTAGAACTTCCTTCCTCTGTATCTTCGCTTGTCTGTGGGCCCCCAGCTGATGCTTAGTTCTTAGTTTGGGGTTTTTTCTTTTACCTTGAAGAGGTGCTGCTTGAGGGTTTTTCCTTTTCCCTTTTTAATTCTTTCTGCATCAGAATTGCTTTCATTGAAACTATTAAATGGAGAGATTGCTAATCAGATGTTTTCTATGTTTTGCCTGTGAATTTTGAACTCATTCCCCACTTCAGGTGAAACATTCAGACCATTCCACATGACTTTTGTATCAAGTCATACTTGTACTGTAAAGGAGCATGCAGGAAGGTATAGTTTATGTTTGATTGTGTTAATGATTTTTTTCCAACTGTGATTTGGGAAAAGCTCTGAAAGCTTCTGTTTTATTTCTTAAGTGATCAAATCTTTTATGTATGGAAGGGATGGTAGAATAGGGAGCCTTTGTTATATGTATTTCCTAAATGAGAAAACAAGCCAACAATTCTGAATAGAATCACTGAAGTAGGAAGAATATGGCTAAATAGTTTGATATCCACTGAGTATTATTCAGAGACTTGTTGGCTGAGATAAAGGCTTCCTGGAGAGCAGCATGTTTCCTCCTTTCCTTCCTTTCCTTTCCTTTCCTTTCCTTTCCTTTCCTTTCCTTTCCTTTCCTTTCCTTTCCTTTCCTTTCCTTTCCTTTCCTTTCCTTTCCTTTCCTTTCCTTTCCTTTCCTTTCCTTTCCTTTCCTTTCCTTTCCTTTCCTTTCCTTTCCTTTCCTTTCCTTTCCTTTCCTTTCCTTTCCTTTCCTTTCCTTTCCTTTCCTTTCCTTTCCTTTCCTTTCCTTTCCTTTCCTTTCCTTTCCTTTCCTTTCCTTTCCCCTTTCCTTTCCTTTCCTTTCCTTTCCCCTTTCCTTTCCTTTCCTTTCCTTTCCCCTTTCCTTTCCTTTCCTTTCCTTTCCCCTTTCCTTTCCTTTCCTTTCCTTTCCTTTCCTTCTTTTTCCTTTCCTTTTTCCTTTCCTTTTCCTTTCCTTCTCTTCTCTTTCCTTTCCTTTCCTTTCCTTTCCTTTCCTTTCCTTTCCTTTCCTTTCCTTTCCTTTCCTTTCCTTTCCTTTCCTTTCCTTTCCTTTCCTTTCCTTTCCTTTCCTCCTTCCTCCCATTCTTTCTTCTTACCTTCTTGCTTGCTTTTTTCACTCTTAGGAAGGCATTTGAGCTGGCACACTTAGCTCATTTGCTCTCTGTAAGGGCAAAACCTCCCTTAATCTCAAGGAACTGTCCCCAGGCAAAACATTCACAGTCTTCCCTGTTGCATACCATACATGGACTTTCAGGACCAAGGCAATGGGATAAGATGGGAAAAGCCAATTGGCTTGAAAAGGCGAAAAATAGTATTGAATTGTTAAATCTAGATAGTGCTAAGAAAACCCAAGAACTTGCCAGTACTACCAGAAAATACTGCCAATGGGTGTACGGAGCCGGTTGTCAAGGAACAGAAAAGAGCCAGAAATGTGTTGTCCTTGTAATAAGAGTGACCTCATGGCAACTAATATCAGAGCCTAATATGTCCCTAAAATAAACAGAGACAGATAGGTTTAGTTAAAATGACTTTTTTGTTCCTTCTGCTTTTGAGCTCTTGAGGGTGCCAAGTAAACAGACCCTAAGAATCCAACTCAGCTGCTTTAGTTGTGCTGGGCTACGTGTTCGTGAGCAAAAAAAACTTGATCTGTTCTTTGTTTTTATCTCAAATCCAACAGCAGTTGCTTCTATGTGTGCCAAGCTTAGACGTGATTGATTCTTTCATTCTTTAATAAAACAATTTGAGCAGCTCAGTATCTTTAAACTTTCATTTGAAAGTACAGTTTCTCCTATAGGTGATTTTAAAAAGATTTTTATATTTGCTGATGGGGTAATTTGCTCGATACTTCTGGAATGAATTTAAAGAAAGAATTAATTTCTGGGAAAATTTGGAACAAATTTGGAGTACATACTGTCAACCTTGTTGTAAAACTGCCACTAGAAATTCTTCACAGAAGGAGAAGATCAAAAAGAGCAGCCACTGGAAAAGGCATAAGGTTGTGGATTGCTAGGGCAAAGCATGAAATTCAAAAGTCAAAGGTGAAGAGAGAACAGGAAGGATGATGAGAAATTATAGCATTTTGATAAAGAAATCAGAAGGTTTCTGAAGTAGCTGAGAACAGAAGTGATGGATACAGATGAGGGAGAAGATACAGAATAGCTGTGCTAGGGCCTGCCAGTTGTCTGTATGTAGGAATGGGATTATCAGTGCTTTGGGGAAAGACCAGTGGAGAGGGAAATTCAACAGAATAGAGGGAATTCAATAGAGAATCAGTAGTTGGGGAAAACTAAGTGAAAAGTTCTAAAAGCAAGTAAAATAGATGACCTAGAACCATGGATTAAAAGAGAACATGGGTAAAGGAAATGTGCAACTAACAGGTCAGCAGCTTGAAACCTGAAGACATACTAGTAAATGGTGAAAGCTGGGCCAGAAGTGCGAGAGGAGCTTTGAGTCTGGTGTGGAAGGCTGATTCAAAGTGGGTGAGAGATGAAACAATGCAGAGGAGGAGAAAAGAGTTGGAGCCAGCACTACTCAGAACAGGAAAGAGTAGGAAGAGGTAGAACAGCAGCAGAAATACAGGAGATGATTAACATCCCCTGTGCCTGACCCAGGAAGAGGGTGAGAGAGCAGAAGAGGTTTCAGCAAGTCTACAGGGATCCTCAGCCCATTGGAGTCTGACTGCCATAACGGACTGCTACATTCTGGCTCCCCTCCACCTCCACGGCTTCAAATATTTCAGTCAAAGTAACAGTAAAATCACAGGTGATGTGCATAGACAGTACATTTTCACTTGCCTGTGCAGTTCCTTAAAATACAGCTCAAGAAGTTACAGCAGCCATTGCTATATTTAAAATTAAATGTGATTTATCAAATGATAATATTTGATGACATGATGGCAATACCTTGTAACTAATCTGCAGAGTCTCTGTCAGTTTAGCTACCTGTACATAAAACACAAATTTCTGCTAAGCTTTGCTCAACCCAGAAGATGCCACCACCATGTCATGCCAAGCTTGCTTTGCCTCCGACATTATGTGCAGCTGCAGTTTTCCAGGATTTGTCTACTTCCAACTGCTTAAGCTATTCCGTACTGGTAACCTAGTCATACGCCCCATTTCTTGTTAAGAATCATGCAATTTGGTGTAGAAGAATCCAGCAGGAGAAACTGGAACAAGATAGGGTGATTACTGTTATTTGCTAAGTGATGACTATTTATTAAACTTATATATTACTATTTAAAATTTCTAAACAATATACTTTCCTGGTGCAGGTGACATGCCAGACTAGCTAGCTTTATAAGGAGCTCAGCATCTTAAGATGGCTGAGAACTTAACATTTCTGATTAGATGAAAAAAAAAAGTCCCATATTTTTTGGAAAAAGAAAAGAGCAGGCATGCTGAAAATGTCTCTTAAATCACGTCAATCAGTACTAGAAAGCAAAAATAGAACAGATTTAGTGTTCCTACTTCTGGAGGCTCAGGTTTGATCCCTACTCTATAACCACAATCAATTCATTCACTTGAGTTTTTAGTGACTCAGGAGCTCTAAGCCCATCACCTCTTTTGGGGGACATTCCACAGTTTAATAGTCCACTTTCTGGGCAAAATTCCATTCTGTGGAAAAGGAGGAGAATGATGCTAGGAAAGATCAAGAAACCAAAGAGCAGAAAACAGCCCATGTTCTATTGCTTGGCAAAGAATTGTCACAGCTGTCGGGAAAAATGGCCTCAGATTTGTTTGGAGCCAAAGCAGCAGCTTTTCTATGCACCTCACTGGATACCTGAATGATACAGAAGATGTAGAAAAGGATTTACTGCTGCAAGAAGCAACCAGAAATGAACTGCTATAGTAGATCAGAGTAGCCATATATCTAGTTTATTGTCCAGGCTCTGGCTGTAGCTAATGTCAGATGCTTCAGGAGATTTATCAGGCCAATAACCAGCTTGAAAGGGAAGTTTTCTTCCAACACCTATGTTAGCCAATTGGTATTTGGATCTTTGAGTTACGAAGGTTTATATGCCCTGTACTCTTTGAACTTTAACACAACTATACACATTCTTATTGTCTGTACAAAGTCTTGCTTATACAAAGAAACTTGATAGGTATGTGTGTTACTGCCCAGAGCAGAGGGATGAACTAAACAGAATCATGAGGTCTTCCCACACTTGCATTCATTTTTTTTTTGAGTATCTTGATTTCAGTGATGTATATTGCAATAGAGAGTTCCAGAAGTTAATTAGGCATCCTGCCAAAAGGTATTTCCTTTATGAGAATTGAATTTGCTTCGAGTTCCACCCACTGAAATGCTTCTTATGTTATGAAGAAGAGCATTTGCAGCTCTTCAGCCATTTTATGACACTCATTATTATTCTTCTGTCCCCTCTCGCTCACTGATCTTTAGAAGTTAAGCAGACCTTCATCTAAGAGTTCCTATTTCTAGTTTCACTCTGTATCCTTTAAGAGCACTTAGTTTTGGTACCGATGTAGTCGAAGGGCTTGGCTTGTGCAGGGAAGCGGTGGGAACTCAGAGTTCTGCCCCCAAAGTGCCAGCAAGTTGTAATGCTTCTGCAGGTATGTTCAAATTACATAGTTGAGAGCAGCCTTCATAAAGAAGCAACGGCTTTGTGCAGAATGGCTGCTGCTCTAAACCTTCAGACAACACAGTTAGCCACTATGATATCTAGCTCTTGAGCTTGCTTGCACCAAAGTTAGATTTTGCATACATAGTTGCATTACTCAAAGTGGCAGGTAGGGCACACATTAATCATAATCTTTCCACATTTTTGAAGCAATTGCCGAAGAATAAAGAATAAATGTACAAGTATTTTCTTTGCATAGCTTCTGTCTCCTCAGACTTATTGCTGGAAAAAATTGTGAGAAAAAAAGCCTCATTACTTTCACAGTTGAGAAATTCAGGGTCCCCTGCACAGTAGTCGTGAAAAATGGCAATGGACTATGATTTAGAAATCAGAGGAAAAAAATGAAAACATGTTATTGCTTCTTTTTAGAAATTTCTTTTACCCTGGAAGTCCAAAATTTGACTTAACCTTGACTTGGCTAGTTGAATATTTCCAAATATCACCACTTTTTAAACCAACATTTTACTTTTGAATACAATACAGACAGAAATATTTCTACTCCTTTGTCTTACTACTTCTAATGACCAGTAAGATTAACTCTGCAACCTGTAACACATTCATCTTTGAAAATAAACTTGATGTTGTGTCATCAGTCTACATTGGCTGTCACAGAACCAAACCATAGGGAGGTACTGTGTTAACTTCATCTGCTGAAAAGCAGTTGTCCCAGTTTTAGTTTGAACTTTTTCTCCTTAGAATATTTTTGTCTAAATGACACTTTTTTAAAAAACCAGCTCAATAACAGGGTCTTAAATTGGATCAAGGTTTGCACTACAAAGCAAACCATAATGCCTGCTCCCCTGTGCTTATCGAATAGTGAGGTCGGACAAGAATAATGACGGCTAGAATTGCCATGTTGAAGGCATTCATTAACATTAGTAATCAGTAGCTTCCTATGGAAGCTTTATGCCTACAGTTGATCAGCCCTTTATTGTGCAGCGTTGAGTTAGCTCGTGTTCAAGTAGGAATGAGCTCCCTCACAAAGGCCATCAGGTAAGGTTTCCATGGTAGCATTTGTACTTTTGCTGTTCCCATTCATGATCCAGACAATGCAGGAATATTCAGTGTGTCATTGTTCAGGGCAGAGAAGTCTAATATTAGTCTAGCCAAGTGCAGAGAGCTGGGTGGTGGGACTCGTTTAAAGGAAGATCAGGGTGGTTGGCCAGGTGGGTTTGTGACCTTTGTCTCCTGAGTGGCACTTGATCCTTTTTGTTCATGTGAGTTCCTCTACATTGTGGCTGCTCTGGTAATGGGCACACAACAGCTACTTTGAAAACATAAGCAGTATTACCAAACAAATAAACAGGCCAGCATTTTGGCCACCAAAGAATAGCATTCATAAAATATACTCAAAGATTCTTAACTAGCAAGACATAGTTGGCATTCAGGAACTCATTAATGACTCATTTGTTGGATTTAGAAAATACTTCGGCATTCAGCATGAATGCTTTCTAGTAAATGTCACTTCTGCTTACTTCATAAACTTGAATACACAGGTGCAGTTGAGAAGCTCACTTCAAAAGTTCCTCTGTAAAGGTGCTGATGGATAGTTTCATCAAGCCAAAAGAAAAAACAAAAGTGAAAAAGAAACACTGTGTGGTTTTTTTTTCTGCAAGCTTTTTTTCTTGGAGCTTGTTTACCACAAAATCATCATAAAATAAAAGTAAACCAGCTGAAGAACATCAGACAGTGATAGGCACTCCCAGCAAATCAAACCAAAACCAAAGCCAATGGGAATAGAGGATATCCCATTACCTTTTGCTATCCCATTCTTTTTCTCTGATCAAGTGGAATGTGTTGAATCCTGTTACAATGGGTCACACAGTAACTCTTTTTTTCCTCACAGATACCCTGGTCAGAGGTTCATTCTGACACAGAATGATGCTTAAAAAAAATGAACTGCAAACAATACAGAGATCATATTCCATATATTTCTTGTTTGGAGAAAGAGGTTTTAATCGGCATTTAGATCATGCAGCTCATCTTACTGAAGTGCAAATTCCTACATGAAGAGTCCAACTATTAAGGATTTGGATGTAATAAAAGCTTTTCTAAGGAGAAAGGAAGCAATGACAGCCTTGTACATTTCCAGGGTAAGAGAGAATCAGTACACAGGTATTTTGAACACCTGCTTTGTCTCCTCTCTAGCTGTGCTTCACTGTGAGCTTCCCCACCAAGTGATAAGATCAGAAAGGCACTGATTTAAATTCTTACAGAGCCCAGCAGCTCACAGGCCCGGGGCTGCTCTGCAGTGAGCACTTTTCCCATTGGGCCTCTATGTTTGCTCTATTGCACGGCAGCTGAATCCTTTTGCCATGTATAGCTTCTCATTACTGAAACGTATGGACTCTGCTTCCTCTGACATCTCCACTCACCATTTCGGGTTTCACTGCAAAGCCCCATCCTTGCAGAGAGGGCAGGTGAACATGCATCACCAACCATGTTCGCATTCACAGAGAAATTATATCTGGAGCACTCCTTCAGACCCTGTTGCATTAAAGTTGGTTTGCTGTCCCTTGGATTAGTGTACTTGCCATCAGCCCTGTGTCTGAATACTAGAAATCTCAATCACCACCAAATCATCAATATTATCGTTCCTTTATTATGCAATGAGTGTGGAGTTGAGCAAATTTTCATTGAGGTGATAGCACTTGATATTTTTCTTTATCCTACATAGAGAGAAAAATAATTAGATCCGATCCCAAATGATATCAAGTGAGTAAAAGAAAAGGAGGAGCAACCTAAAACACTGGTGCTGAAGAAGTTAAATCATTTTCTTAAAGTGAAGCTGAGAGTATCTCTTTAAAGAGCTTCTTCTAAAGGTTTCTCCTTAAAGAAGGCTGGCAAGCCCCAAAACTGAGGTACTTGGCAGGTGAGGAGAGGAAATGCATTAGAAACACAGAAATGTATACAGAGAGGAAACAGCCGCTCCAGAAAGCAGAGAATCTGGCTACTTAGAGGGGCCTTGAAAACACTGAATATTCATTGGATAAAAATCTTGCTTGGAGTTGTGTTGCTGTTTTAGTGCTGCTGCTGAAACAAGAGTGTATTTTCTTTGTAAATAAACATGAATGCATCAAAGAAATACCTGCCTACATCAGCACTTTGTCATCACTGAAGCAAGCTGCAGAACCTGAAAATTGGCCCACTGTTCAGGTTAAGTTAAGAAAAAGCATTAAGGTTGCAGGAAATCAGTCTTATTTTCATCGTTTTTGATCTCATTCTGGAAGGATATCATCCCAGGTATTTTACAAGGCCAAATTCATTGCAGCCTGCAGTCTTTTCAAATAATTGCTTTTTCACATAAATAGCCCGAGCAACTTCTGTAAAAACGAGGTCTATTACAGTCAATAATTGTCACTTTTGTTCTGTTACAGGGTGTGCTGGATTCACCATGTTACAGGAGTGTGGGTGTACCCACTTCTTGAGTACCTCAGCCCAGGTGTCAAAATAATCTTCTTCACAGCTCTTACCATAACAATTAACATTTTCTACTTGCTGGGAGAGGTTCTAAACAACTACATATGGGATACCCAAAAATGTGAGTATTGTTTTAGCAACAATAACCCCTGAAAGACTCTGTCAGGACTCCCCTGAAAGTCTAGGTTTTTACAAGAGTAAAACAAAGCAGAATGACGGAAGTTCCATTGAAACTTTAAGTTTGCTCTTAATAACAGCCAAGTGAATGGAATGGCTGATGGAGAGCATTATTAGCTATGAATATTTATTCCTTCTTATAACTTCCAAACTAATTTAAGCACTGTTGGCAATTACCTGAATGATTTACAACCCACCTAGTTTTATTAGCTGATGAATCCATTAAATGCAGCTAGAATAAAGTACAGTTCTGTGGGAAAGTTGTTAATGTTAAGCTTAGACATAGAAAGAAAAAAAAATCTTCTAGTATTTTCAGTTATAAAGTGTTTGCTGCTTATAAATTTACTCAAGGAAAAGAATATTCACATCAGCAAATAGAATTGAAAGATCACCTTAGTGCAGGATAAACTTAAGTCTATGGACTTTACATTCTTCTACCTTATCTAGGCCACCCATTGCCAAATAAAGAAAAAGGTGATAGTAAACAAGCACACAATTAGAATTAGGTTCCTTTAATCTACTAAAGATTTTTTTCATCTATATAAATGCCTGAAATAAGCAAACAACATTCTTGGTCATCTCAATGGCCAATCATAAATAGAGTGAAATCCTTTCTCAATGAGAATTTTGGCATTACATTCACTGGGCCCTTACCACATTGTGACTAGCCTGTACCCACTTTTGGGAAACTTATTATGAACTGGTTATTCACATATTCTGTGATTCTGTGATATTCACAAATTTGCATGGTAGCTTATTGCATGATTAAATCTCTTAAGAAGCCCTCCAATATAATACTAAGCAGAAACTGATTCCAGAAGCTTAGAGTAGTTTTAATTGCCATTTGCTCATATAGGCATCCTGATACAAAATCTATGTTTTAGTCTAGATCCAATGATCATTTGTCACAGTACTCAAGTCTGGGTTTGCACCTGCAGCTTGATGTCACATATGCATTCATTTACACTATTTGCATTAATACAGGAAAGAAGTTTCTAAGGAAGTGGCCATTAGGAAGAATTTCACTTGACCTAAGTCTTAAATAAAACATAATAATGTGGTAAAGAATCACACGCTCACACAAGTCCATTAATAGGTAAATTGTGCAAAATCTTCCTCACTTTTTCACAGTGTGCATAATAAAATTTCTGGTTCTTGTGTCCCTCTACCCTACAGGAGCTAAATTTATTCAATTCACTCTTCCAATAAACTCACTGCGGCCTTCCTATCTCCTGTGATTTTCCCTTGATTTGGTCCAAGAACATTGACCCAGATTCCTCAGTGAATAATTGAAACAATTTGCATAAGCCAAATCTGAAGTGTATGACAGGTACACCCCAAACAGCAGAAAAGTAAAATACTGACAATCTGTCATCATGCAAGATATGGAGAATACATATTTGGAAACTATACATTTAGAAGGGGCTTTTGAGCACTCAATTTCAAATTAAAGGAATCTACTTTGAGAAAATTTCAGAGTGGTGGGGGGGTTTGGATTTTTTTTCCCTTTTCCAATGAAGATGCATAAATAAAACCTCCTTACTGACAAAATGACTTGTAGTTAGTTTTTCCAAGTTAAACCACAAGCATGGTGGGCAAGGAAAAACTTGCCCTTTCTACAAGCCAGTGTCTGTCCCCAATTTTGAGACAATGAGCATTCCTTCCAAACTACTTAATATGTTTGCAATCAAGTACTTCAGAATAAAGGAAAGGGGCTCTATTTAAAAGATGAAAAAAGCAGTTCAGTGAAAATTACCGGAAAAGTTCCTTACGGCAAAAAGTAAGAGATTCAGGATTGGCTCTTGTAAACCCACTGTCACTTTTTGGATCAATCCTTTTGTTTTGGCTTTAAACCTTTGACACTGGTTCTTTTATTATTTTGGTTTGCCAGAAACACTTTGGCCCACTGTACTTTGCACTCTCAATTTGTGCTTTTTGACTGAAGATGTGTCTTGCTGTTTCCACCTTGGAATAAATTAGCTATATCCTTACAGTGAATCTTGGCATACCTACCATCTATGCATATATTGCATTAGCAGGTGAACTTACTTGCAACTGGGTTTTCCTCTCAATGTTCTCAAAAATTGTTTCTCTTTTACCTTCAGAGGTATTTCTTTTCCAACATACAGCAAGCTTGAAAACGTCCAAAAGAAACATTTTTATTTGAAATGTTTGGCAGAGGGGTCTTAGTCAGAAGAACAATACTGCTGTCAGATACCGATAGTAATTCAGTGTTCAGGAACTGCATATGATATAGTTGAATGTTTTCATTGCCAGAAAAAACACAGTCCACTGCCTGGCCCAGCCTTCACTCAGCATAGACAAGAGAAAAGCTCTGCAGCAAGGATAAGTTTCTTAAGGAGCCCAGCACTGATCTCAGTAGTCCCGGTATTACAGAAAGGTGGCCATTGGCAAGAGATACCCTATCGACAAGCGTCAGGTCTTTATTCACATAACCTCAAAAAAGGGAGATGTGCTTGAACATTTCTAAAGATCTCATGTCAAAATGGGATGGGGGCCCTAAACTCACTGACAAAAGTTCGAGAGCTTGCTTTCAAATCAAGTCAGCTGCTTAGCTTCAGCTAGCAGTAGCTATCATTAAATCTACTTTAATTTGCTTGTAGGTGAGCAGAGGAGTTCAGGGAGATAACGGCTCACAGTACCCTGCAGCAGTCAAAGGCTGAGTGTGCCACAGGGGTTCAGACTGATTTGGAAAAGGTCTGGAGGGAGAAAGGGTTATGCAGTTCATTACTGGACAACCGCTGACACCAGGTGTGCAGATACTCTTTTCTTTCACAGCAGGTGAGGCCACACATGAGAAGAGTGTGTGAGCAAGTGATGGAGGTGAAACAGTAAAAGGAAAAGAAATGTTAGTGCATTAAAGCAACCTCTATAAGTAAGCTCTTCATTTTTATTCACTCGGAGATTTTTAAAAGGTGCTCTTGTCATTTTTTTCAGGTATTGAAGAAGGAAAAGAAAAGCCTAAATTGGAGTGAACATTAAATGCAACATGGAGGATTTTTTATGACTCCATGCAAGATTTCTCATCGCCAACAGAGGTTGTCATGGAGAGGAATCTTTTGGAAACAAGACAGTTTAATGGGCCTCTACTCAATGCAAAAAGGATGTCAAAAGGATATTTTGGGGGTTTCTGTGGAATAATAATGATTTTAGCTAAGACTACTAATTATGTTTCAGTCTCTCTCCCTATTTCTTCATGCTGCATGTGACATGCATATAGGGTGTGTATTTATCTCCACAGCATTCTCAACATGGATTACTTGCATCAGATACGTCATTAAACCATTAAGTTTTTCCACGTCCATCATGGAGTCTATTCCTTATTTCATTTGAGAAAAGCTTAATCAGATAGGTCTAATATGGAGGAAAAAATAATGATGTATTTCAAAATACCGTGTAAAGATATATTAAAAGTTAAACGCATGAATGTATCTGAAGAATAATTCAATCTCACTGTAATATTAATGTAATTTTATGTAACAGTTGCCTTAGATTCCTGATGTTTATAGTTTTATCAGTCCAATCAAGTTTTATTTGCAGTGATAAGCTATCTGAATAAGCTATCTGAATTGAACTTTTCTTAAATATACCTAAATAAAAATCACATTACCCCCAAATTTCTGTTTCTTCATGCTGATTCTTGGAATTCTAGATGGATTGATGGTGTATGAATAATATATTTTGGGCAGTTTGCAATGTTGATTGTAGATTATGTTATTTGTACGTGAGGATATTTCTTCACGTTTTCCTAGTACAAGACCTGAGTCTGCCTTTCAAGTCATAAATTCTCAAGAAATGGACTGTGCCATTAATGCTGCACCAGAGAGAACACTTAAGCCTTGCTTCAGGGAGGCACGTAAACAAATGTTAAACACATGCCTCTATGTATTAGACTTCAGTTGAAAAATACTAGCCATAGTCTAAATTCGACAGTTTTTTTTTTTTTTTTAATTATTAGACAATCAGAAAGGAACTCTAGCAGGCAAGAAAAGTGCTTAGAATTAGAATAAACAATGCAAGTGGAATATTTTTCAACAAGAAATTATTCTACAGAAAAGTCATTTAAAGATCCAAATGTCTTGATGTTCACATAACACACATTTATTAATGCATTTAAGTACGTCTATTTTAACATGCAGAGCACTTGAAAGATGTGAAATGTTTATGCGTGATTTTTATTAAAGGGATAACAGCAGAGGTTTAAATCTGGAACAAGAGTTCATTGGGGAAAAATGATCTAATGCAAATCCTAACATGCCTCCTCCAGTACCTTTTACGATCCACTTATGTTTATGTACATGCTATTATAGGAAACCGTGCACTACTTGAAGAATGTGGTTTGATTTTGCTGTTTAAGTAAAGATTAGGGGATGCTGTGATCCTTTGCTTGTTTCTTTTGGTTGGTTTCCTTAAAAAATAAGGCTTCTAAGATTATATTGCCTTTGTGTCTCTCTGCCTGTCTTTTCTTAATAATTTTTAACCCATTGGCCAGAGATGTAAAGGTCTCAAAGCTAAGTGAGTTACTAGAGATTTTATGGAAGTGGCCAGATAAAGAAGGAGATCCTCCAGTGATCCCTTGGAAACCGTGGTGCCATGAACTCACATAGAATCCAGGAAAAGAGCTATGCTAAAGCTACCACAGCCATTGGAAAATTTGCAGCAAAGTCCTTTTTTTAAAAAAAAATCAAATTCAACAAACTTCAGGTCACACAGAAAAAGGCAGAATTTTGAGTTTAAGATTTCTTGAATTTCTTGAATATTGATGTCTAAGTATCACAGGGAGAACTATTTTAAAGGACATGAGGCTACTTTTGACTCTTGAAAAGTTAAGCATCTGTCCCTTGCTTTCCACTGCACGGGCAAGTCACCGCGATCAGAGGTAATGCAGTGTGAGAAGAGCCAGGTGAGAAGGCAACCTGGCTAGCACAGGGGTGATGAACCATGCTGGAAAGCAAAGTACAGACACCAGTGGCTGTGAACAGAGCTAGGTCAAGCATCTACTTGTGCATTGCTGTGCCTGACCTCAGTCCCCCTCTGTGTGCAGAAGACACAAAATGCAGCAAAACCCCAAAGCTCCTCTGTACAGGTCCAGCACTGAGCAAGGGCTGACAAACCCTGGTGGACCCAAGCTGAAAGAGCAGCCCCTCAGAGATGGCCAGTGCACCCCAAATAAAGAGGATACTTTGGAGAAAGCTGTACCAGCTCTGCACAGAGCTGTTTTGGGTCCGTTGTGTTTGTTTGCCCCAGCTCCATGCCAGATAAAAACAAGTTTATTGCTTGCGCAATCGACCAGCCTTGGGAAGCAAATTAGCTGTAGCCATGTGGCCTTGCTTCGAAGTTATCATGCTGCTGGACCCGAGCTGACTTGGCAGAGATGTGCAGCTACTCTGCAACATGGTTACTCTACCTACAGATAGCTAAGACTTGGTTGTAATAGATGGTTGTTATTGGAGGTGGTAAGGTGTCTGTTATTTCAACAGGCTTTCAGAACTCAGAAAGGAAAGAAAACAAGGATCCAGTCATGCTTCACTGAGGTATGAGCTGTGCTTTTAAATGCTTTGGTAGCATGTGAAAGGAATGGTGGAAAATGAGTGTGCCAAAGAATCAGACCATACTTTCTAAGAGCAGCAGCAGGCAGAGACTATCATCAGCTGTGGTTTAGGGTGGGAAACCCAGAGCACGTACCCTGGACTTGTTTCCCATTTGGAGAACCTAACTCATGTTGCATTGCTAAGTCTAAGTTAAGTCTTTCCTTCGAAAAGGTGTTAAATAAAAAATAAGAAACGCCAGAGTGCCACACAGCTGTAAACCTCCTGCGGAGCACACTCTGAATGTCACTGGTCACAAACTGGCCGTTAATGGAAAGATTCCTCAGTCTCACTGAGTTTTGCACCTGCTCAAGATAAGATTTCTTCTAATAACATGTCATTTCAAGTGACATCATTGGGAAAGCCATAAAAATACAAAGAAAGCAAAGAGACCAAAAACTGCATAGCTGAATACATAGGTAGTGGGGTAAGTGAAACAAGACACCTTTTTAGAGGTACATAGTAGGAACAATTAGAATTATCTTCCCATATGCCTGGGAATATGTCGGTACTCAGCACCTCAGAACAAAAGACGAGCAAGGTTCAGTTATGGGTTAAGCCCATAGGGGTTTAAGCCCCTGAACTTGGTAATATTAGTCAAAAGCAATACATGTGGCACAAAATGTTGTAGGTGTTATTTGGTTTAATGAAATTATAGTACTCTGAAAAGCTTTGAACTCTATTTGTCTTCCCACATTTCAGAAAGTTCTCCACCCGCTATGAGCTTTGAATCACAGTATTTAAAGTCAAAAACATTTTGGAGCACTAAATCCAACCTATGATGTATGAACAATGATATAAATAACTTAGCGGCCTGTGTACCCAGGGAGTACTCCTCTAGACCATGATCATTCCCTTTAGAATTACACAATCCATCATTCTTAAGAAAGATGATGGATGAATGATGACTAAAGTAGAAGTCACTTGTAACCTTGCCAGATTTCAACCATTTTGGCTGAAAGGTATTTCTCTCAGGACAGCTATTTTTTGGGTGGAAAAAAAGTTGTCAGAACAAGTCATCTAGTACAAGTACAAATCTGTGGAAAATATTTTTTTCCATGTCTAGCAAGCTTTTCTCTATCTTCCTCTTGCTCTGGAGATAGCTCTTTGGAAGAAAGGTAGCAGTTACATTAGGAACACTACAGAACCTGGATCCTAAAGCAGACTGGTTTGTTTCCTTTGAATTGTTTGTGTCTTCTCAAAGCTTATGCAAATACAACTGCTTACATCAAATATGAAGGAGACAAAATCTCAGTGAAACTTAGGCGTGGGATAACCTGAACAGAAAGACCTCTAGTCTTTCTGTTGAGAACTGCATTAAAACAAAATGACCACTACTTGTTAAGTATGTTGTAGCTGCAATGGTAAACGAGCAAAAAAAACTGTGGAGGAAATATTACTTTTATTGTCAGAAAAAAGGCATAGCATGCAGCTGATAAAGCAGGATGCCACACCTTGAGCCTTGAAGAAAAAACAAAATACTGTTTTGTCAGTGAGCACGATCCATCATATGTCATGCATGAGACAGAGAGAAAAATATTGTGTGATCATCTAATTAAAGGCAGTATCATAATTCATACTCACAAGGGGCCAAATTAAGGTTGAACAGACGGCCCTAATTCTGACATTACCTCACTCTTGAAGGCCAGACTTTGCAGTCTTAATAATACTCTCTTGACTTAGTATATACTATAACAAATAAATCAGGGTTTTCCAAGGAACTGTAGAAGATAAAGTCCTATGAATTTCACTGCAGTGATACGTCCTTTTTGGCTTTTGAAAGCTCATCCTCGCTTTCTATATGCTTTTAGCTACCCCAAAACATATATGCACAGTTCTCATATCAATCTGTTACTAAGAGATTGCCATAATTTTCTGATTTTTGCCACAATTTCAACATCAAATTATTTTAGTCAGTGATTTAGCTTTTGTGTGATAAAAGCACATTTTAATGTCTCTCTATAGTAATCATTGTCTTATTTTAAAAGAAACCTGCAAACATTTTCCCCAATATAAAATTGCTCCTTTGCTTCTCAGTCCACCTAAGTAATAGTAGATAAACTGCCATCAAGGTATGTCAAAGCATTGGACATTGCAATTAGACAGAAAAATGGCTAAAAATCCAACCAGATGACATTTTGCAATGACAGTCTATCAGACACATGTTTCTCACTTGATTTTTCCTTTCAAACTTGCAATTAGACTATTTCAATCCCGACAACAGTCTCTTCATTTTTCATTTTCTATGAAGATTGGCCAGCCCAAGGGGCTCTACGATAAATTTTGGTAGTCTCCAAAGACTCTAACAGCATCAAGTGACATGTTAAGAGGATTTATAATCTAGAAGTCAAGTTAAAATCAGCTCCTGAAGAGGCTGTCCAGCTCAGATTTTCCGGAAACGCTACAGTGAGGTGAATGTCACAGAGGTGAGTTTGGTGGCTGTGTCCTGGCAGTAAATGAGCAAGCAATAGGGGAGGT